AAAAAAAAAAAGGCAGTGCTGCCAGATAAATAACCTTGAAGGCGATTGCCTTTCTAAGTAGAAAAATGCCTCTGAACCGACCCTGCAGAACACTGGACCCTAAGAGAAGCAAGGTCTTTGTGGGGGGTGGTCCCAGGAGGTCTGAGGCCACCCCCTGGGCATGGCCACCAGGAGCCACAGGCTCACCTGTTCTTAAGATGCTCTGGGCCTTTGCGTTGCCGAGTTTCGCAGCCTGTATGAGGTGGAGTGCACCCACTGCTTCGTCTTTTGGTACTGACATCCCTTCCACCAAGAGCAGGTCCTCTGTTTGAGCAGAGTGAGAAAGAGAAGCGGTCAGTCATCAGTGAGCTGTGGGCAGCCCTGTAAGGAGGCTAAGCTTATGCTAGGCCTGTGGACAGCAAGCTCGTAAAGGGGAAGATAGTGTTTCACTTTCACAATGGTAAAGCTTTTTATCAGTCACAAATGTCCACATACATTGCTCCCAAAGCCTTTGTTGCCCTGTTGCTGTTTGGCTGTCCATAATCCAGAGGGTCCTGAAAGACCCTCACATCTGACTACTGCCTCCTACCCGTCTGACTACTTCACTTCTCACTTCCAGTAGCAGAGAATGTTCTTCAACCAAATTACCAGCTCCTCCCACATTCAGCTCTCTCCTTGTCCATTCCAGGTGCAATGCTGTACTCCTTGCCAGTGCCCCACATCCTGTGGCAGGCAGTGGGGCCAATGCCCCCGCATACTGGGGCAAGGAGCGGGGCCAGTGGTTGAGGAGCAAGCACAGGCCTGGATTCAGTTCTAGTTCTACCACAACATCTGCATGACCCTGACCATGGCACTTCACCTCTGTACGTTCCTCTGTTCTAGATGAGGGCAGTAAAGCCTACCCTTACAGGATTATTTTAGGGATTAAATGAGATAATAGGCATAAATTATTTAGTTAAGTACTGACGAGAGTAAATGCTAAGTATAATGGTGGTGCTTCTGTGGCTGTCTGTAGTCCTGTCTCTGCCAGTCACCAGCTCAGATGGTGTTCCATCCTGCTTCCTCCTCTGCTGTTAGACTGGCGCCAAAGGAAGGAAACCTCTGACCATGCACACTGCTGTCCAGACACCAGCGGGTCTCCTGCCTTCCCTGGGCCCCACAGCTTCCCGGGTCAGGCCTCCCTCCTCACGTTCTCTTTCACCACCTCCTCAACCCTCCCACCCCTCCACCAGCACATTTCCACACTTCTTACCACTCAAAGGGTCCTTCCTGCCCTCCATAGACTCATTAGCATCTACACATCTCCACTCACCAAGTCTGCCTGGCTGTGCAGGGACCCTTCTGCAGCAGCTCCACATTCTGCCTCCTGCATTCTCAGCCTTTGCCTCCATTCCCACTATCTCCTTTCCATCAGCAAATTCTGACAAATTGGCTTTAGAGGCAAAAAAAGTTTTACTCCTTTCGTGTATGAAGCACAGATATCCCAGACACACAGGACATGATCATAAACAGATACACAAGGTATCTATGTAATTAAAGTTTCATGACAGAGGAGTGACTAGGAAAAAAACACCTGAAAAGGCTCCTTAGGGGCTAATAATGACAACGAGGTTAAAAAACACTATTTTAAGTGTCAGGAGCCAAATGACGCCAGATGGCCGCCCATCCCCACCGTCTAGAGTATGCTAACCTTTATCAGATAAGGAGCTGCTTTTCCCTTATCAGACAAGGAGCTGTTCTTCCCAGA